AAGGAAATATAGCATATTTTCAAAAAAAAACTGGTAGAAACCGGTATTTACTTCATATATGTATTTTTAGTAAAATAACATAATTTAACATTTTAAACCCAAATTTGTTTATTAATTTATCATTATCTTCATCAATACCTTCACATAAGTAAAATATCTTCATGATGTTAGGGCGCGCGAATGAACCAGGGCTGACGATATTTCAAATTATGAACATTTCTTGCTAACTTAAACTGCGGTTTTCTCAGAAGAGGCACAAAAGGGCAGGCTAATTTTTTCAGAATATGTAGTTAAATATCTAAACTTTTTTTTAAAAAAAGAATTAAACGGGGATCTAGGGTGTAACACTACTTTACGTCCAAGGATATCCAAAAAATCCCTTTTTTTTTGGACCACTTTTAAAAAATTAAAATAAAATAGTAATTATGTATCTAAAATTTTTATTTTTTTTTAATATTTTAAGAATTGGTTGCTCTTAAAATTTCAATCGTTTCATATACAACTTAGGCCCTTGGGCGCTTTCAGAAAAAGTTCAAAGATGTGTAAAAATACCTTTTTTTCTTATTGGCTAAAATTATATTATACCATTCAACACAGATCACTCTTTCCTTTTGATGTGTATAGAGAATTCAATTGTTTTTAAAGTTGCATTGCAACATTTTGGAAAATCTTTAAAAAAAATAAAACATTTGTTCTAGGCGCCCCACAGTGCGCCCCTTTAATATCTGTGGTGTTTGTTTTTGTTGCCCATTTAACACAACGTATCGTATCCGTGGTAAGCCGCCGTACAAATCATACGTGGCATTGTTTGTATGTTTTGCGTCCAAAGCGGTCCACTTAGAGTTAGTGTCCGACCTCACCACTGATGCGTTTTTGTTGGCATTCCAAAGGTTCGTGAGTCGACGCGGGATTCCGGAGAAGGTGTGGTGCGACAACGCGACGAATTTCGTCGGAGACGATCGCCACATGAAAGAGTTCCGGGCCCGTCTGGAGAAGCAGGGGGGCGGTATCGCAACTTGCGCATCAAAAAAAGGATGCTAGTTTGCTTTCATACCGAGAGCACCTCTCTTCGGCGGACTTTGGGAGGCAGGTGTGAAGTCTGCAAAACACCTGTTCCTTCGGACGGTCGGCGAAGACATCCTGACCGCCGAGGAGCTCGGAACTCTCCTCACCAGCGTGGAGGCCGTTCTCAACTCCAGGCCCCTCGGAGCGATCAGCACGGATCCCAACGACGGCGAGGCACTAAGCCCAGGCCATCTCCTGATCGGCGGGCCCCTACTAGCTCCACCCTCAGCAGCGCTCCCGGACCAAGTCAGCCCAACCTGCTTGCGACGATGGCTCAGTGTCTCGTGTCTCAGGCACAGGTTTTGGCAGCGATGGTCCCGGGAGTACGTCTCGAGCCTCCAGGCGAAAAACAAGTGGCACCAGGAGGTTCCAAACGTCGCCGTGGGAGCTCTCGTCGTCGTCGCTGAGGACAATCTTCCGCCGCAGCAGTAGATGATCGGTCGGATCGTGGCGGTGCACGTCGGCGCTGACGGCAAGGTCCGAGTGGCGGATGTGAAAACAAAGGATACGACGTATCGGCGAGCGGTCCATAGACTGGCGGTGCTGCCTGTGGCGTGCTGAAGACGGTGGTCCTTCAGAGGGGGCGGTGTTTGCGCACTTTGCGCTTTTATAATGAAATATGTTGAATAGTGTAAGGCGGGAGCGCAATAAAGCTTTAATCGCTCTCGCGAATTCGCCCCGTCTCTCGCCCCTTTCGTTAAGTTAGGCTTAAGCGTTTATATATTGAAATTAAAGAGTTAGTTGTCATATGAATCTCATTGCGCAAACTCCCTTTCGTCGTCGCCAAAATAAAATATCAAATTTCCCTGCAATCACAAGTTTTCGCGTTGTAATACAAAATAGTATTACATTTTTCCCATTTTTTAAGCCCCCCACTTAGGGTCCCTAAGATGTCAACAGCAGCCACAGCCAGCGCCAGCTCAAACCCCGCTACCTGCCGTTCCAGCATTCTATTTTTTTTTATCACCTATTAATCCCTTGCATGAGAAACAATTTATATGATTTTTTTTTTTTTTTTTTAGAACCCTAAGTTGATGCATATGTATTTATAACTAACAAACCCCCATTTCAAAACTTTTTCCAAGGCGGCCCCCTTGACTCTGAAATCATGTATATAAACCCCAGATATTCCCAAATAAAATCAGTACTCAAGTACTACTGTCACTAGATTATGTTCTAGGGGCAACCTAAAACTATAAAACAATAAAAAGTAATTCTACGAACATTTTGGTGACCCCGACCAGTGTATGAAATTCTAGTCAACTTGGCGACTAATTTCAACACATACGAACTAGACAGATTCTCGATCAACTTGGCGATCGAATCATCTATATTTTTTATGTTGTCTTAAATCTGTTTTTATCATTTGATTAACAGAAAAGATAACTAGGGAAATCTGGCTCGAATAAAACTCCGACCGTTTTCCCGAACAACTTGAACATTGTTTCAAGGAGTAACTTATCAACTTGGCGATCTTTTACGAAATTATTGGAAGTCAACTTCAATATTTAAACAATTTATAAGTAGAAGTAGTCAACTTGGCGATTCTTCTTACTTTATTAACAACAAAAAATGAATGATTTAAATCTCAAATTTAAAGTAGTCAACTGGCGACTCTTTATACATATCTTCAAAAAATAAATCCGATTTACTGGAGTCAACTTGGCGATTCCCAGGATAATCGTCGATTTAAATCTCAAATTTAAAGTAGTCAACTGGCGACTCTTTATACATATCTTCAAAAATAAATCTGATTTACTGGAGTCAACTTGGCGATTCCCAGGATAATCATCGATTTAAAATCTAAATTTCAAGTAGGCGACTCTTGAAATACATCAAACATTTGAAAAATAGAATATTTTTTTTACAAATGGTGTTAATAAAATAAAAATTTTAAAAATAAAATAATTGGCTATATTTTCTAATCCAAAAAACCTTACGTGTCTTTGACCACTAAATCGGTTGCGAGTAGAAGCGTATCCAGCTTAATTAAAGCGAATAAATTAACTTCTCACGGGTCAGACACGTTAGTAAGGAAAAAATGGAGGTTGAAAAACTGATTGCCATTCAAAGCCAAATTGGTGAAGAGATCCAAGTTGTGCTTAGAAACATCAAAAAGGATTCTCACACAAGAAAAGAAAAGGTTACGTATTTCGAAGATAGGAAACGACAAATTGAAGATCTGTGGAAATCATTCGAAAAAGGAAATAAATCTATTCTTGAAGAATCTAAAGGTGCTGCAGTATTGCATGAATATTTCGAAAAGAATTATTATGAGCAGATGAAATTAATTGTTCATAAGGCTATGGAAGAATTCAATGCTAAAATTCTGCAATTTCCGACGTTAGAGGCCACGTCTGATGAGGTGGAACAAATCAAAAAATTGATTAGACACCAAGCAGCGGTTCTGGATTCGATGTCTCGAACTAAGAATCAAATATGTCCAGACAATAAATTTACCTATAAAACGGTAATCGACAATTTATGGAAACAAATTGAAAGTCTGCATTTTGAAATCCATAAATTATGTATCGAACCTGAAAAGGCAGGTTACAGTATGGAACGATTTATCTCCGCTGAAAAGGCAATGCTACAATTTTGCCAACCATCAACTGATACAGTTTCAATAGCCACTAATCATGCGGTACCTTCGATTTCATCAATTCAATTGCCAAAGGTTTCCTTTCCAAAATTTGATGGTAACTACTTAAAATGGCAACAAATCCATGACATTTTTAATAAAATGGTTCATGAATAAGCGATATAAAAAAAATGTGATTTTATATGAATCAGCGATTCCAAAAATACAAAAAATGTGGTATCTTAAGGCTAATCTGTCTGGAGAAGCAGAAAGATTAGTAAGGCATTTAGAGTTAACAGAAATTAACTACGACACTGCCTGGACAATGCTGAAAGAACGTTTTAATAATAAGCGTGTGCTGTCTACCGCAATATTTGAAAAACTTTTTAATAACCCTAACATAAAAAAAAATTTTCAATCAAAAAAAAAAAAAAAAAAAAAATTAAAAAAAACTATCAAAAAAAAAAAAAAAAAATGAAATTTTCAAAAAAAAAAAAAATTATAAAACAAAAGTAAAAAAAAAAAAAAAAAACGCCAAAACAAAAAAAAAAAAAAAAAAAAAACCCATATTGATAAAAGCTTATTCTGCTGAATTGGAACTATCCGGGCTTGCATAATGCATAATAACCGACACTTTTGCTTTATACCTATTCTGTTAACCTATGCACTTTTTACCTATAAATACCGTTAAGTTTATACAATAAAATCAGTAACAATTTTGACTCCTACAATCAAGTTGTACTCATTCTGCATTCAACAGAGGCTGTCGCTCTAGTCTTCAGATCCTCATATGCAATCCTTAGTCCAACTGGTTCAAGTTCTAGTTGCGACGACTTTAGGCAGACAGTTTATGTACTGTATGCCAGGCACCTAAGCCAATCAATAAACATTTTGGTGACCCCGACGTGATCTCACCAAGAGATCACACCATAGAACACAACGTTGGAGATATCTTCCATACAAGTCCTTTTGCCCAAGTCGTCAACAAGGCGACAGATTAAGGACACCTGAGTAAAGTCGACTCAGGAAGTTGGAAGACTGGTCAACAAGGCGACCAGCTCCGTCAACGATTTGATAAAATCGTTTTTTTTTGTGATCCCGGTAAACGGATTTAGATCATCCAATCCCGGACACATTCTCGAAGTTGTCAACAGGCGACACTTTGAAACCAGAATCAAACATTCTCAGAATACGAGAACTCAGCACCACAGTTGCTGTCATCAAATTCACCCTAATCATTCATAAGTGTTAAAAGCTTCTTAGACCATTTCGGTTGCGAATAGGAGCGTATCCAGCTATACAAGCAAATAAAACACTCCCAATGGGTCAGAAGTTTTAACACAAGATAATAAAGATGAGTGACATGGATGAGCAAGCCGTCAAAGAAGTACTAGACGTGCAAGAGGAGATCAGTCAAGAAATCTCTAAATTCATCATCAACTTCAAGAAAGATTCATCGGAGAGGAAGTCAAGTCCGAACTATTATGAAAATAGACTAACCATTCTCGATGACGCTTGGAATCGATTCACAACGAATGATCTCAAGATTCCTCAAAAGTATAGAACTACGTTATACATGAAGTTCTATAACGACTGTCGTGAGTCATACGACAAATATCGAGCTATCATACGGGACGGCATGGACCAATCAACAAGCCAAGCCGAGGTAATTCCAGACCCAACTGGTAACCCTGCAAGCATTCAGCATCCCACGATAGGGTTCCAGAAACTAATATCTGCATGTCGTCGACAAAAGGCAATATCAGATTCTATCAGGCGCGCTCTGAAAGAGTATTCAGGTACGGGAAAGAGCGTAACAAGTGATTTGATAAAATCACTATGGGCGCAAACGCAAGAGATCCATTTCTCGGTACATGAAGAATACGACGATCCAAGCAAAGGAGGATATGACATGAAATCCTTCCTGAAACTTGAAAAGGAAATTCAAGATATCTTAGGAGCAAAATCAAACTCCTCGAGCAATGAAGATATGCATTTGCCCAGAGTCAGCATCCCCAAATTCGATGGGGATCTACTCAAATGGACTCAGTTTTTTGACTTATTTAAATGCATGGTCCATGATACTAACATGCCGACGGTACGGAAAATGTGGTACCTAAAAACCACCGTAACTGGAGAGGCTGAAAGATTGATAAGACATATAGATCTTAAGGAAGAAATTTACCTCAGCGCCTGGGGTATATTAGTCGATTCCTACAACAATCCCCGACATGTGGCAGACACGATTCTCAATCGTTTCCTGCATCAAAACACAGTTAGTGACGATCCAAGGTCATTAAAAGAGTTGTACATTACAACTATCGAGTCTCTAGCATCATTAAAGGGACTGGGCATCGATGTATCAAGTTGGGATACAATATTGATTGCCATCATCAAGCAAAAATTGGATCTTGCAAGCAGAGCCCTATACGAGCAGTCGTTAGATGGGTCCCGAGAGTTACAGGGTCTCGACACACTGCTCAGCTTTCTGGACCAGCGCATCCGAGTTCGTGGAACAGGAAAAAAGGGACAACAATCAAGAAAGGAACAGAAGGGTCCTACATGCTCATCAGCCAGTACTGGAAAAGGACCATGCTGTCAATTTTGCAAAAGGAATCACTGGCTCTATAAATGCGATGACTTCCGCAGCAAAACAATACCCGAACGAGTTAATTGGGTACAAAAACAAAGACTGTGTGTCAACTGCTTCAGCAATGACCATAAGGCAAAGGATTGCCGTGGTCGACCGTGTTTTAAGTGCGACAAGAAACATCATACTTTGTTGCATCTGGGAACCACATCAGGTGCATCATCCAATCAACATTCACTTACTGTAGGTGCAGCAAGCAACAAGAATTATAACTTGCTGGCAACAGTCAAAGTATCAGTGAAGGCTAGCAATGGTCAAGTTGCTACCTTCAGAGCGCTGCTAGATTCAGGATCACAAATAAATCTGATTTCCGAACGAATGGCTTCAGTACTATCACTGAAACTTCATGGAACTTCTCTACGGATCGAGGGCATTGGAGGCAATCCAAAAACCAGTAGAGCAAGAGCAAACGTTCAAATAAAATCAATGCATAACGCCTTCACACAAGAAGTTGAAGCTTTTGTCCTGCCACACATAATAGCTGATCAACCAGCGCATCAGTTAAATTCGGCAAGCCTACAAATCCCAAGCAACATAGCTCTAGCCGATCCAAATTTCGATAAGCCAGGAAAGATTGACATGCTTATCGGAGCAGAGCACTACTATTCATTGCTGCTGCCAAACCAGTCTATACTAAAGACAGGAGGACCAGTTCTTCAGAATACAAAACTTGGATGGATCATTGCAGGACGGATCGCCTCGGATCACGATTCAGCGGCGGTTTGTGCCGCCGCAGCTACAGACGAAGAAGTTGACACACTATTGGAACGATTCTGGACTCTAGAAAATCTTGAAACCGAAAAAAGGCATCGATCACCAATAGAGGCTCATTGCGAAATGCACTTCGTAGGAAACTTGGGAGTGGCAAAGGATGGCAAATTTGTTGTGAAACTCCCATTTTCTGAACAGTCTTCAGCCCTGGGGGCATCACAGAAAACAGCCACGAATAGGTTTCTGGCTCTAGAAAGAAGAACGTCACCTGAAGTCTGGAAAGGCTAGGTGGACTTTATGAACGAATACGAAGCACTCGGACACATGAAACAAGTGCATCGAACAGAGATACCCGCTAATCACTACTTCATTCCACACCACTGTGTGCTAAAGCCGGAGAGCAGTACAACAAAGTTGAGGGTAGTATTCGACGCTTCATGCAAAACCACCAGCAACAAGTCTTTGAACGACATACTCTATGCTGGACCCACGGTGCAAAGCGAGCTATTTGCAATTCTATTACGCTTCCGCACTCATAAATACGTGTTTACAGCGGACATAGAGAAAATGTATCGGCAGGTGTGGATACACCCTGACGATCAATATCATCAACTAATCGTCTGGAGAATGAATCCATCAGATGATCTTAAATATTATCGGCTCAAAACCGTAACATACGGTACAACGTCAGCCCCATTCCTAGCAACAAAATGCTTAGATTACTTGTCCGAGAAGGCAAAGGATCAATTCCCGCTTGGATCGTCTGCTCTAAAGCACGATTTCTACGTAGATGACTGTCTCACTGGAGCAAACAGCGTTGCGGAAGCAGTCCAAATTCAAAAGGAATTAAATAAAATACTGTTACCATCCGGTTTCAAGCTCCGAAAATGGTGCTCCAATAATGGGCAAATTCTAACAGACGTTCCCGAAGCAGACACCATCAAAACCGTCAAGCTAGACGAAACATTGAAACACTACAGTGTCAAGACGTTGGGTTTGGTATGGATGCCACAAAGGGATCAACTGTGTGGGCGATCCCAGAAAAGCGAGGCGTCAATCATCACCAAACGCGTGGTAAGTTCCGAGTCAGCACAAATTTTTGACCCACTTGGACTATTTGCCCCCGTGGTAGTAAAGGCAAAAATATTTATGCAAACGCTTTGGACGCTGAACCTGAGTTGGGACGATGAGCTCCCTCAAGAACTTCAAAATGATTGGAAGAACTATCGATCGGATCTCCAAGCATTAAACAGTATGCAAATTCCTAGGCACATCTATAATGAAAAGGTTCCAGTCCATCAAGAAGTACACACATTTGTGGATGCATCAGAGCGTGCGTACGGAGCAGCAGTATATATAAGAGCTACCTACAAAAACAATCAAATTTCGGTACGACTTCTTTGCTCCAAGTCACGAGTGGCTCCATCCGCGAAAGAAACTTTGCCCCGCCTTGAACTATGTGCTGCGCTGTTGGGCGCGGAACTAACACACAGAGTAAGAAAGGATTTGCGATTACCGATCGAGAAGGCTTCTGGATACTTCTGGACTGACTCAACTGTAGTTTTGTCCTGGATAAACGCATCGTCGGCCGCATACCACACGTTCGTCTCGAATCGGATAGCAAAAATCCAAGCTGTCTCAGATCCATCTCAATGGCGACACGTGTCCTCGGCAAACAATCCAGCAGATGTGCTATCAAGAGGAATTGCAGCCAGCAAATTATCAGAACATACCCTCTGGCTGTATGGACCACTTTTTCTACACGGTTCAAGTGACAAATGGATCAAGAGGCCCATAATCGGTCTAAGTGATCTTGAACGGCGAACAAAACAAGTGAGTCTTCCAGCATGTCAGGGTCAGACAGGGGAAGAACTCTATAATTGCAAGCATAGCAATAGTTTTCGAAGGCTACAAAGAATTGTGGCATATATGATGCGTTTCTGTCACAAAAGAAACAGATCAAGTACAACCACCCTATGCATCGGTGAACTAACTCACGCTCGTACTATCATACTGCGCACCATTCAGAAAATTGACTTCGCATGTGAGTACAAGCAACTTGTTGCCCACAAGGCCGTGGACAAAAAGAGCGCTCTCGTCTCTCTATTCCCCATGATCGGCAAGGATAGTCTCATCAGAGTCGGAGGGAGATTAGAAAAATCTAAACTCCCGTATAACGCAAAGCATCAAATCTTGCTTCCTTACAATGATCCAATAGTAAGAATGCTGTTGCGAGAAATGCATGAAGAGAACATGCATTGCGGTGCTCAGGCGTTAAGAGCCATTGCCAGACAGCAATATTGGATTATCAATGATAAAACAATGGCGAGGAGCATTATACATTGTTGTGTCAAGTGTACAAAGGCACGGCCCAAACTAATGCAACAAATCATGGGCAATCTGCCAGTCGACCGAGTAACACAAGCTCGACCATTCTTTAATTCTGGTGTTGATTACTGCGGGCCAATTTGGATTCACCATAAACTCCGTGGAAAGAGACCAGACAAGGCGTATATTGCAGTTTTCTGCTGTTTCGCTACGAAGGCAGTACATCTAGAGTTGGTAAGCGACCTAACAACAGATGCATTCTTAGGTGCTCTTCGACGGTTCTTGAGTCGACGTGGAAGGTGTCAGACCATCCATTGCGATAATGCAACCAACTTCGTCGGCGCCAACAATAAACTAAAGGCCTTAGAAGAAGCGATCTTCACGGATAAGGCACAAGCCCAGATCATCCACCATTGCAATCAGAGACAGGTGGATTTTAAGTTCATACCGCCCCGAGCTCCATCGTTCGGCGGGCTGTGGGAGGCTGCAGTAAAATCTGCGAAACGGTTACTAGTATCAGTCACAGCCACCGCATCATTGACGTTTGAGGAGCTTAACACTGTAATAGTGGAAGTCGAAGCAATTCTTAATTCTCGACCTATTACGCCCATGTCGTCTGATCCTACGGATGCGTCTGCATTAACCCCAGGCCATTTTCTGATTGGTGAGCCTCTAACGGCCCCACCCGATGTAAATCTCTCCCCAACCAACAAAACATTGGTAAAAAGATGGGAATTAGTGTCCAGACTTAAGCACGCATTCTGGAAGCAGTGGTCAATGGAATACCTTCAAGAGCTTCAAACGCGCAACAAATGGAAGACCATGTCGCAGAACGTCAAAGAAGGGCTACTTGTATTAATAAAAGAAGAAGATAACCTGCCGGTGATGAGTTGGCCGATGGGAAAAATAGTAAAGACATATCCTGGCAAAGATAATTACGTACGTGTAGTAGACGTAAAAATTGGTTCTCGCGTAGTTCAGCGACCAATCACACGGCTTGCCCCGCTTCTTAAAGAAGAAGTATCGACAAAGCGGTCTAACATTTCCATCGAAGGAGCAATAGTTTCAGAAGAGATCCCAAAAAGGAAGAAATGGGACAGTCAACAAGTGTAACTCAGTTCGCCAATCAGCCCGGAATATTCTATGAACGACTCGGCACTGCAAGAACGGCAGTTTCGGAATGGACGATCATTGCATATAGTCTCAGAAGGCGATTCGTCAACTGGAAGCCACGACAGCCAACCTGCACCAACCAAGAGAACGACGAGCAGCCATCACCTGAACCTACCCCACGAAGTTTTTCGTTCAGCATTAGCGATGGTTGAACACTTGTTCAACGGCCGGGAGAATGTTCAGTCGCAGCAATAGTTATAAGTCAGCGGTCTGAAGTATCATATATCGGGTCAAGCCGTCAGCAACATTACACAGGAACACAAAATTAAACTTTGTGAAATTTCCACGAACCTTTTCAAGTTTTCCATGATGTTTGGGTGCTCCTGAGTAAAAGTCCCATACAAAATTATTTTCCATCACCTACAGGTTCCGCGGTATAGCTAAGAATACGAAAAACCGATGTTTGCCGACATTTTGAATTACGTGGCCTATATAATTGGACCAACCTTTATTATTTTCGGTAGGACCTACTCTCAATACATCAAGGCATTCCTAAAAAATAGTCCCCATTGTGAACCATTGCCCATGTCTTTGGAATTCGACGCCAAAGTTGAAAATCCCAAAATTGTAGAGATTTTTCTGATGGAAAAACAATTCTGAGGATTAAATCTTGAATGGAAGTAATTTTAACTATTCATTGTATCTATTGTTCATTGTATGCTTTAATTTCGGTTTAAAGCGTTTTCATGAGAACATTTTATTGGATTTCTTATACTAATAAAACGGTAAATTTTTTATTTCATTATCTACTCCTAAATGTTGTCAAATTTTAAAAAAGTCAAGGCATCCTACAGAATGGGAGTAAACATTTACATTTCTCTGTGTATGTTCAGTGAACGTATTTTAGTTTCTTAGTTTTAGAGGTTGCCATGACTTATTCAAAATTTGACAACATTTAGGAGTAGATAATGAAATAAAAAAATCGGTTTTATTAGTAAAAGAAATCCAATAAAATGTTCTCATGAAAACGCTGTAAACCGAAATTAAAGCATACAATGAACAATAGATACAATTAATAGTTAAAATTGCTTCCATTCAAGATTTAATCCTCAGAATTGTTTTTCCATCAGAAAAATCTCTACAATTTTGGGATTTTCAACTTTGGCGTCGAATTCCAAAGACATGGGCAATGGTTCACAATGGGGACTATTTTTTAGGAATGCCTTGATGTATTGAGAGTAGGTCCTACCGAAAATAATAAAGGTTGGTCCAATTATATAGGCCACGTAATTCAAAATGTCGGCAAACATCGGTTTTTTGTATTCTTAGCTATACCGCGGAACCTGTAGGTGATGGAAAATAATTTTGTATGGGACTTTTACTCAGGAGCACCCAAATATCATGGAAAACTTGAAATGGTTCGTGGAAATTTTTGGCTGTGTACCTGTGTTATCAATGACCCACTTATTGGCACAAGCTTATTCTGCTGAATTGTAACTATCCGGGCTTGCATAATGCATAATAACCGACACTTTTGCTTTATACCTATTCTGTTAACCTATGCACTTTTTTACCTATAAATACCGGTAAGTTTATACAATAAAATCAGTAACAATTTTGACTCCTACAATCAAGTTGTACTCATTCTGCATTCAACAGAGGCTGTCGCTCTAGTCTTCAGATCCTCATATGCAATCCTTAGTCCAACTGGTTCAAGTTCTAGTTGCGACGACTTTAGGCAGACAGTTTATGTACTGTATGCCAGGCACCTAAGCCAATCAATAAACAGGAATTATGACTGACACATGTTTTAATTTTTTATATGACAAGAAAATTAGACCGAATTACTCATACTCTTTATGAGCAAACAATATTAGACACAAGGGAAATTCAAACAATAAAAGAATTTCTTGCATTTCTAGAACAACGGCACTTGAAGCCATCGGTGGAAAGGCGCATAAGGAAAAACATAGAACAAGTGCCTCTGCAACAGCAAGTTCATACGCCTGCCTGTTTTGTCAAAAAGGGCATAGCATATACAAATGCGATAAATTTAAGGAAACTTCTCCTGCTGAAAGGCTGTCTTGGGTCCAGCGAAAGAAACTGTGTGTCAATTGCTTAAAGGCAGACCACATGTCCAAACAATGCATGTCTAAATATACATGCATGAAATGTAACAAAAAACACAATACGTTGTTACATTTAAGTAACGGAAAATCTAATACTGAACAAAAAACAGCTGCTTCTGCTGCGACAAACAGTATTGAGAAAAGGTACACACTGTTAGCAACGGCTAGAGTGACAGTACAAGGAACCAATCGTCGAGAAGGAGACTTTCGAGCGCTCCTTGATTCCGGTTCACAGATCAATTTAATCTCGGAAAGATTGGTAAAGCGGTTATCGTTAAAACTCTCCCCAACAAATTTACGAATTGAGGGAATTGGAGGCCAGCCGCGAATAAGCAAAGGACGCGTCAGTGTGTTGATCAAATCAAAACATAGTGACTTCGAAACAAGAGTTGAAGCCTTTGTTCTCCCGCACATGGTGGCAGATCAACCCACCGAACAATTAAAAATAACCGATCTAAAAATATCGAAAAACATTAATCTTGCGGATCCCAATTTTGATCGACCAGGAAAAATTGATTTGTTGCTAGGCGCAGAACATAATTTTTCTATTATTAAACCTGAGTAAATAAAAACATATCCAGGTTTTCCAATTCTACAAAATACTAAATTGGGTTGGATCGTTGCTGGAAAGGTTAACATGAGTGCAAAAATGCCACAGAACTGCATGGTAGTTTCCTCAGCTGAGGAAGCGAAATCATCGTTGGAAAGGTTTTGGAAGTTGGACCAATTAGAGCCAATTAGAAAATACAGGACTCCAGAAGAAAGGCACTGCGAAAAGCACTTTATTAATAATCTTCAGCATGCACAAGATGGCAGATTAATAGTCAGATTACCGTTTTCTGAAGATCCTTCAGCACTGGGCAAGTCTTGCGATATCGCTACAAGGCGCTTCTATTCGTTGGAAAAAAGGACCTGTCCAGAAATTAAGAGGATGTACAACGAATGCCGGAACAAATACCGAAGGCTCACTACTTCATCCCACATCATTGTGTTCTGAAACCAGAGAGCACTACTACGAAATTAAGAGTAGTCTTTGATGCCTCCTGTAAAACGTCGTCAGGAAAATCTTTGAATGACGTGCTGCATCCAGGACCAGTTGTTCAGAGTGATCTGTTCTCTATATTATTGAGATTCAGAACTCACAAATATGTCTTCACTGCAGACATTGAAAAAATGTATCGCCAAGTATGGTTGAATCCAAATGATCAATTTAACCAAATGATTGTTTGGCGATATGATTCAAATGAACCAATAAAGTATTATAGGTTAAAGACGGTGACATATGGCACAACATCAGCTCCGTTCCTGGCCACTAAATGTTTGGAACATTTAGCCAACATTAACTCTGAAAAATGGCCACTAGGAGCAGCCGCATTAAAAAACGATTTTTATGTGGATGATTGCTTGACCGGAGCAGACACGATACAGGACGCAGAAAGGATTCAACAAGAACTAAATAAAATCCTGTTGCCGTGCGGATTTAAACTAAGAAAATGGTGCTCTAATACACACCAATTATTAAAAGGATTCCTACCTAAAACGTCGTCAGCACCATAAATTTGGGTGCAGCTTTAGAACATACCAGTGTAAAAACACTGGGAATTATATGGACTCCAAAGGACGATCATTTGTGTGGCAGAGCACAAGAGCAAAAAACTCAGAGCATTACTAAAAGAGTGGTAGCTTCTGAGGTCGGTCAAATCTTCGATCCTCTTTTCACCAGTGATAATAAGGCCCAAAATATTTCTGCAAACCCTGTCACTTCAACAACTGGATTGGGATACGGAAATATCAGATTCCCTAAAGGAAAGGTGGGAGGCCATCAGACAGGATCTGCAACATTTAAACAAAATGAAAATTCCACGTCACATTTATGATGGGAAAGTCCCACAAAAACAGGAGCTACACATATTCGTGGATGCTTCTGAGAGGGCATTTGGTGCAGCTGTTTACGTAAGAGCCATTTATAAAAACAAACAAACAACTGTACGTTTGTTGTGCGCTAAGTCAAGAGTAGCGCCTCTAGAAAAACAAACCCTACCACGGTTGGAGTTGTGCGCGGCTGTTCTAGGAGCCGAACTAGCCGACAAAGTCAAAAAGGATCTAAGACTTAACACAGAATCCATTAAAACATTTTACTGGACAGATTCAACAATAGTACTTTGTTGGATCAATGCAAAGGCATCGAATTTCCATACATTCGTTGCAAATAGATTGTACAAAATACAAGACACATCCAGTCCAAACCAATGGAGACATGTGTCATCAAATCTCAACGCCGCAGATGTGTTATCAAGAGGAATCCCCGCAGCTCAATTAGGCGCACACACTTTATGGTTATATGGACCACTATTTCTTCACGGACCTGAAGAGAAATGGCCATCCCTCTTTAAGGCCCCTAAAAACAACAGCATCTCATTGGAGAGAAAGCTAAAAATAGTCACTCTTGCAACAAGTTCGGAAGGAGACGAAATATACCGTATTAACCATGGAAACTCATTTAATCGTCTACAACGTATAATTGCCTATATGTTACGATTCTGTTATCGTAAAAACAGGAAGGATACAGTGCTGCTAGAGTTGGACGAATTGGAATAAGCCATGAGGATAATAGTACGATGTGTACAACAAGCTGACTTCGCAGATGAGCTGAAACATTTACATCGACATCCTGAACGACCGATACCCAGCAGCAGTAAGGTGTCCTCTCTTGACTTGTTTTTGGACGAAAACTCTATTATTAGAGTAGGAACAAGAATCGAAAACGCACCAATTTCTCGTGATGCAAGGAATCCATATTTATTGCCTTACAACGACGAAATTGTGAAAATGTTGTTAGTAAAACTACATACCGAAAATATGCATTGTGGCCAAAATACCTTGAAGGGTATTGCTCGACAACAATATCATATTGTCAAAGCCACTTCCATGGTTAGGAATGTAATCATGAAATGCATTCCATGCACAAGATATCGTCCAAAATTGATGTCGCAAGTTATGGGAAAACTACCTGAGCATAGGGTTTCTCAAAATAGGCCATTCCTAAACTCTGGAGTGGATTTTTGTGGACCCTTGAAGATTCATCACAAGGTCCGAGGCAAGCGACCTGATAAAGCATACATCGCCGTATTTGTATGTTTTGCGCTACAAAGGTTCATAAGCCGATGTGGAAGGTGCAAAACTTTGCTACAAACTTTGTAGGAGCCAACAACCAGCTAATGGAATTGAAGGAAACTATACACTCTCAGGAAGCTAAGAACTCCATAGTGCAGCTATGTAACACAAAAGGAATTCAATTTAAATTCATTCCGCCAAGAGCACCTCACTTTGGTGGGTTATGGGAAGCAGCAGTAAAGTCAGCAAAAACATTATTGTTGAAAAAGGTGACCACTGCTGAGCTCACGTTTGAGCAGTTAAGCACAGTTATAACAAATGTCGAAGCTGTGTTAAATTCCCGACCACTAACTCCAATTTCTGATGATCCAAAGGATCGGACGTTCATTACACCTGGTCATTTCCTGATTGGAGAGCCACTTGTAGCACAACCAGATCCCGAGCCATTAAAAATAAAATCCCTATCTGCACAGTGGGATCAGGTGCAGTCACTGAAGCACGAATTTTGGATGCAATGGTCCAGTGAACACTTAACAAGTCTTCAACAACATCCTAAATGGAAAAAAGCATATCAAAACGTAAAAGAGGGCATGATGGTAATTCTAAAAGAAGACAATGTGCCTATGCTTTATTGGCCCATTGGACGGATTTTAAGGCTCCTTCCAGGCCCAGATGGATATGTACGAGTTGTAGAGGTTGACACTCCAAAAGGTGTATTAAAAAGAGCGATTCATAATCTTGCTCCACTTTTTCGTCAAGAGGATCCAGGAGAAAAACGTAAGGATATAAATGACGAAGATGAGAAGGATGAGAAGGATGATCAGGAACCAAAAAGGCGCAAAGGCACAACCCTTCCCCTCCTGTCAATGCCCTTGCTAATCCTTCTACTGCTGCTACCACTAGCTGCGGCAAGTCCAATAAATATAACCAGGTTGGGATCAAAACCTGGAATTTACGATGAAAAACTTGGGACAACTCAACTGGAAACTGCTGATTGGACAATTATCGCATATTACGATTTAAAACCTTATTTGGAGGACGTAAAAACATTTTACCTTGGAACGATAAAGGTCGGCCAAATGTGTTCTCACATACAACCAGTACAAGCATGTGCTGCGTTATACATGCATTTTCAACACGTCGACGAGGAAATCCGAACTGAGAATGAGTTACTCCATATGTCCAGGAACAGACGCTCGCCGCTGAACATTGTTGGAAATATTGCCAGCAGTCTCTTTGGAGTATTGGACACGGAGTATGCCAAAAAGATGTCGTTGACCATTGAAAAGGTCAAAACGAATGAAGATTATCTCTTGGAATTGGTGAAGAATCAAACATCAATAATTGATTCCACCATAAATATAATGAAAAGAGATGAGGCCGCCATCGACAGAAGAATCAGAATCATGAACCAGCAAAGAGTGGATTTAACCAACGCGCGACTTGATTCATTAAAAACCTTTCAATGGTATATAGCACTAACCAATCAATTGAGTGTATTGGCGGCCAGTATTCAAAGAGTCCAGTCAGAAATTTCGCATGTGTTGACAAATGTTCATCACAATGAAATAAGTCCGCTGCTCGTATCGCCAAAGCAACTTCAAGAGCATATACATAAACTTAAAACTCATATGCCTCAAGGAAAAATGCTTCCCATGATTAAGGACGATGTGTTACAATTGTACAAGTTGATAAAAGCAGAAGCAAAGGTTGTAAAGGATTATGTCATCTTCAAAATTACACTGCCTTTGATCTCAACGCAGCTTTTTGAGCTTTATAATTTGGTACCAATACCTGTGATAGTCGATAACAAAATGATATCACTGGATATTGAACATCCAATTATAGCTGTGAATCAACACAGAGATCAATTCATTGCTATGACAGCTAAAGAATTTGATCTATGCAAGTCCATTAACGAGGACGTATATATTTGCTCAGATAAGCAAATGATATTTTCAATTGACAATCACTGCGAATTTCAATTGTTTAATAACAAATCGTCGTCACTATGCCAAACTGTGACATCTACGAAATCCCTTTCATGGCAAAGACTAAAGGCCAAAAATCAATGGATTTTCTCAATGCAAGCACCAATGGAGCTCTCTGCAGTATGTGGCGATCAATTATCAACCATTAATATTGATAATACTGGACTTCTAGTTTTGGACCCAAAGTGCACTCTACGAAACTCAATTCTTAGTGTGATTGGCCATCAAGTGACGTCAACAGGAGCGATGAAATTGTCATATGCTCGATTTGGCAATTTAAATCAATCGTCTGCAGCGGATACTAAGATTTCAAATTTAAATAATTCATTGAAGTTGAGTTATAATGAGCTAAATGATCTTAGTAAGGAATTACTTCCCAGGCTCAAAATAAAAATGCCAACAGAGATCATTGATCTACCACACCACCACATAAGTGCCTATGTTGCCTTGTTTTTGTCACTCGGAGTCATAGTCGTTTACTTGTGGAAACGATTCCAAAAGAAGACACCTCCACAAACGTCATCATCTTCAAAGGACATCGAACTAGCAGAACAACCTCGGTTACTCAGCTCATCAAGGATGCACCATCTGATGCCTTCGTCCGACGCCTTTGAGATCAACATTGGATGATGTTGAACACCTGTTCAACGGCCGGGAGTATGTTAGCGCCTGCACTTGAGTCCCTAAGATGTCAACAGCAGCCACAGCCAGCGCCAGCTCAAACCCCGCTACCTGCCGTTCCAGCATTCTATTTTTACTAACCCTAGCCTATTAATCCCTTGCATGGGAGACAAATTGTATGACTTTGTATTTCTGTATATCTTAGAACCTAGGTGATGCAATGTATTTATAACTAACAAACCCCCATGCGATACCTTCGCCATGGTGGCCCCCTTGACTCTGAAATCATGTATATAAACCCCAGATATTCCCAAATAAAATCAGTACTCAAGCAATACTTGTGTATTCAACATCTCCGAGTTAACCCAATTCAAGTGTTGGTTTAGCGGCCTACTGTCACTAGATTATGTTCTAGGGGCAACCTAAAATTATAAAACAATAAAAAGTAATTCTACGAACACATATGTTTTTTTAAGTTTTTGAAGGAAGAGAAACATTGATTACAGTTAGGTAATCCACAGATAAGTTTTTTTTCATAACTAACATAATGAGTATGCTTTCCCTTAGCATGTTGAAAAAAAAGGTTTATGTTTTCAACTTTAGTGTCAAGCTAACCGGTTGTGTTTATTTCGGAGATCCCGTGTTTCATAAAAATTGTATAAAAATTTGATTTTTTTCATCATTTTTTGGTTTTTTCTCTGCGTTCTGTAGCTTTTGCCGGCCTTGCCCACGCTATTGGCAGGTCGGCTGTTCCACTAACTGTTTCTTTTCCGAATTCTATTAGTTTCGGTACGACGGTTGCAATGTCGGATGCTAGAGCTCCAATGAGCAAAGATGTCTATTATTTTCGAGCTGAATCTACGGCCGACGGTCGTGAAAATAAGGTAGCTCACTCGAAGGATAACGAATCACATGGAACGAAACATTCAGTCTCTGCCAAAGACCAAGTATCTCGACCGCCAGTAAATACCGATGAGGTCGTAAAAGAAGCCGTGTTCAAGGCATCCAGAAATGCCAAGGCAACTGCCTTTGATGCAAATAGGTGCCTCTCTGACGTTTCTGATGAATCAGCTTACGAGGATCTAGAAATGATTAATGTTGATGTGAAGTCGAATAAGCAAATAAGCCCCAGGTGGATTAGCAAGAGTGTTGCTGATGAAGAGCGTTTCACTCAGGTAAAGTACCTAAGAAAAAGAAGGAACCTTGACCAACTCAATGGTAGTACTCATAAGTCTGCACTTCTAAAGTCGGACCAGGATCAAAACCATCCTCAGGCTTCTGTTAAAAATGTGAACTTACTGTCACCCCCTTCTAATAGAGAAAAGCCCTCATCCTCATATTTAGGAACGAATAATAGTTTTGGTATTCTATCTGATGATGAAGATACAATGAACTCTACTGGCGATACACTCTTGCCCCAATCTGATAACTGCACGATGTTTTCGGCCAATGCCTCTGCCCAAAGCAAGAATAAGAAGCGAGAACCTCGTCCTCCACCCTTTTTATTAAGAGGCGTCACGGATTTTAAGCAACTGATAGGATTACTATCACCCGTGACTACTGGCTTTCGCCTTAAGACAACTGGACGATCCTCCTGTAGAATTACTGTGGATGATGGCAGTATATACCGTGTTGTCCAAAAACTATTCAAGGACAATGGAATTCCATACAGCACTTTTCAATTCAAAAACGAGAGAGCTTTCCGAATTGTCATTAAGGGCCTTAATGCTTCAACTGAAGTTGATGAAATCATTGCCAGACTCAAGGAATTGGGGCACAACCCTCGAAATGTATATAACCCTCCTGGTGAAAATGGCAAGGCCAAACGCGACATATTCTTTGTTGAATTAGAACCAGCTAAAAATAACAAAGATGTTTATAACATTCGAGTAATTGATTATCAAGTGGTTACTATAAAACCACAGATTCAAAGAAAGGGCCCTTTAAGGTGTTTTAAATGTCAATCGTTTAATCATTCAAAAAACTTTTGCATGTTTTCACCTAAATGTGCTAGGTGCGCTGGCGACCATGACACCAAGGAGAAGGATAAATGCCCAGCTCTGAAAGAGGATCAGTTTAAGTGTATCAACTGTGGCTCAAATCATAGTGCTTCCTCCCGCAGTTGTCCTGCCTATCTAGAACAGTGTGAGAAACGCAAATCTAATAGCACTCCAGAACGTCAACGTTCTCAAAAGCAAACGGTTGCTGCTCCGATCCCAAGCCAGAATGCTTGGTTCCCTTTGCGTCCTCCTGTTTCCTCAAGTCAGCCATTGACGTCATCAAATTCATTTAAAAATTTATTGAGTCCGCTAAGTCAGCCTAATTTTGAAAATACTACTAAGGCCTCTGTGGTAGAACAACCTGCTCAGGACAGACTCTTGGAATTTATTAATAACTTACAAAAGCAGCAAGAGGCTGCTGTAAATGCCCAAGCGGCGGCAATTGAAAAACTACTGGAACGTTTTGATCAAATGATGTCAGTCATGACGACGACGCTGCAAATGCTACAGAGCGTGATGTCCAAGCACGCCATTGAGTCAACGCGCCGCAATGACTAACTACGGATTAAATATAATAATATGGAACGCTAACAATTTAGGTAGCAAATCCTTGGAGGTGGAGCACTTCCTCCAGGAACGTAACATTGATATTTTGTTAATCTCAGAGACTCATTTTACCAGCCGTTCATTCTTTCGAATCCATGGATATGCTGTGCACTGCGCCAACCACCCTGATGATAGAAATCGGGGTGGTGCTGCTATCATTATTAAATCGTCCCTGGACTATCACCTGAGCACCACAATAACTGAGCCTCATCTGCAAGCAATTGCTATAAGTTTGGTCACGTCGTTTGGAAGAATTTCGTTTAGCGCTGTCTACTGTCCTCCTGGTCATCGTCACTTGTGGCCAGCTGCGGAATTTCTGCGCCTTTTCGGCTCTGTGGGTAGCCGCTTTATTATTGGAGGTGATTGGAATGCACACCATAGCTTCTGGGGTTGCAGACGGTCCTGCCCTCGTGGAAACACTCTGATGTCTGTTGTCTCTAGCTCAACCATGCAGATTCTGGCCACGGGGGGACCCACGCATTTTCCCTGGATTAATAATCATCTTCCGACTGCCATTGATTTTGCAGTGTATAGAGGTATCCCGTGCAGCCACCTTTCCATCTCTGAATGTTCGGGCCTTTCTTCTGATCATATCCCGCTCCTGATATATTTCTCTGTGGCTGCCTATCAGGTCATCACCAAAACTAGGCTTCTACCTCGGGGCTCGGATATTAGAAGTTTCAGTGCCAGGCTCACTGCTTTGACTGAAGAAAACCCTCCGCTTGTCACTGCGGATGACGTTGATTCGTTTGCTCAGGTTTTGGTAGACAAGATCCATCAAGCCGCCCCTCCTGCTAGAAGTGTACCTATACCGCCGCCAACATGGGCTTCTTCGAAACCTGAAATTGCAGTCTTGGCCAGACAAGGTCGTACACTTCGCCGCGTTTGGATGAGGACAAGGCATACCCTGGACTTGGCAAGGTGGAGGGCTGCCGTGTCAGAACTTCGAAAAGTCCTTCGATTGGCAAAATCTGAATTTTTCGTGAATCATCTCAGTGCCATTGATCCCAACCAGGATCATGGGTTTGCATTATGGAAATGCACACGAAATCTGAAAAGACAACCTCTTCACAGGTTTTCTCTTAAACGAAGCGATGGCACTTGGGCTCACAGTGATTCTGAAATAGCAGATGTATTTGCAGATGATCTGGAAAACCGATTTACTCCGTTCGATTTCGCAACTGACCAGGAAGTTCGAGCCACAATTTCTAGGTTTGGACTCTCTTTCGGTCCTCCTGTTGTTGTGCGACCAGTGGATGAGGAAGAGGTCCGTGATCATATTAAACGATTGGTCCCAACAAAAGCTCCTGGTATGGATAAGGTCGATGGTAAAGTTGCAAAGTCACTTCCCAACTCTGTCATTGCACAGCTCTGCCTTCTCTTTAATGCGTCACTCAACCTTGGCCATTTTCCATCACCTTGGAAAAGTGCTCTAGTTACAATGGTCCCCAAAAAGGGCAAAGATCCGTGCTCCCCTGAGTCCTACAGGCCAATAAGTCTCCTGTCCACGTTTTCCAAGATTTTTGAGCGGATCGTACTTAACAGGCTCCTGGATATTGACACCTTTAATGACGCATTACCAAACCATCAATTTGGTTTCCGTAGTCGCCACTCCGCTGCCGAACAGGTTCACAGAGTCGTAAACCACATTCTAGATGCCTTAGAAAATCATAAATATTGCTCGGCTGTTTTTCTTGATGTCAGACAGGCTTTTGACAGGGTTTGGCATGAAGGTCTATTCTATAAATTAATGCCACTACTGCCTGAGGGACTCTGGAAGCTCATTGTGTCATTTCTGGACCATAGGATGTTTGCCGTTGACATTCGTGGACATCTTTCTGGACTACGTCTAATTCGTGCTGGTGTCCCACAGGGAAGCGTCCTTGGCCCGGTTCTGTACACAATTTACACTTCGGATCTCCCAAACCCAGTGGTTCGTGGTACTCTCCTTGCCACCTATGCAGATGATACTGCATTCCTAGCTACTGGCAGCACCCCCTCCTCGGCCTCGTGGCGTGTCCAGACATTTTTGAACGAGTTTGAATGTTGGACCTCTCGTTGGAATATTGCGCTAAACGTTGATAAAACGCAACACGCCACCTTTGCCCTTCGACCTGGCCGATCCCTCAGTCTATACTTGGATGGTGATAGACTTAAGCACGAGCAGAGAGTAACATACCTCGGTGTTACCTTAGACCGCCGTCTATGCTGGAAGGGTCAGATTGACCGTGTCTGTGGGTCAGCGAGCACGAAACTGGACAAAATGGACTGGCTACTTCGCTCAGATAGCGGATTATCCCTTCAGGCCAAGGTGCGGCTCTTTAAAGCCATTGTTCTCCCGACCCTAAATTGGGGAATAACATGCTGGGGCACCGCTTGCGACACGTCGCTAAGAAGGGTTCA